ACGTCCACTTCCAGCCCGGAGATAGGGTGTGGGTATGGACGCCCATCCGTCGCCGCGGCCTCAGTGAGAAACTGCTGAAACGGTACTTTGGACCATACAAGGTACTTCGTCGCCTCGGCGAGCTGAACTACGAGGTGATGCCCGACGGAACACGAACATCGTCACGCCGCCCACCACGACCTGAGGTCGTCCACGTCGTGCGCCTGAAGCCGTACTACGCTCGATAGGACTGTGGACCTTTTGTGCTCCAAAAGACTCTTTAGTTTATCGTTCTTTTTTATTTTGATTTGTTTTACACTGCATCGGGGCGATGCACTTTTAAAGGGGGGAGTAATGCCGCGCGCAAGGCTGAGAAAGCAACGCTCGGTTACGGTCCTCCAGAAAGTTCCCGTTTATTCATGTACCGCACGTAACTTCTATCATTTATCCCTGCTTTTGTTTTCTAGAAGTGCGTGTTCATTCTCGCCCCGATCACGCGACGCTCGAACCGCTTTTGCCGAATCTTCGAGATAGCGGCGCACTTTAGATAAGAGGCCGCCCGCGACCTTGTCGAGTCAGTCTCGCCCCAGCGCTCGATTCTGCTGACACGCCGACTTCGACGCCCGCGACGCTCTGCTTTCTTCTGTTTCCTTCTTTATTTTTGGCACAAGTTCGCCACATTAAACGTTTATTTATTTCTGTTTATTTCTTGTTTATTGGTCACGACTCACCACCCGTGACAATATACTTTGTTTTACCAGTGCGGTCAAAGCCTAGGTATTTATTCGTACTCGTTAGGTAAAGGCCAAATAAAAGGCGTTGCCGCCCGTACACAAGTATTTATGTGGCCGTCTACGTGATGATGTCGATGTAGATAGAGTCTTGTGATTTATGCATATGAGATAGCGACAGTGGTAGGATGTGGGTTATGTACAATGAATAAAATGATGCGAGATTTGTGGGTGAGGTCGAAGGTGTTTTGCAGCTGCCCTGCATAGCTCTGTCACTTCTTTGTCCGTGATCGGGAGGGCGACGATATGGTCAGGTAGAGCTCTCCAGAGTCTCACGCCTCACAGGAGGCATGTGTTGTCGTGTCGTTGGGTAAGTGCGAGAAAACGGTAAATACGTCCAGTGCGGTCATTGCGTCGGGGCACGAATTGGAGGTAATTGTCCTGTGGGATCCCATGACCAATTATGTCGCCAGCAGCCGCAGGGCGGCTACGTCTCTTCGGTGGGCCAGTGTGCTCCCCTTGGTGTTTCTTAGTAGTTGAGATGTCGGGATGTCACGTGGCGGGAAGCGAGGGCTTGGTGATGTTTAGCAATTGATGCCGTTGGCTGCATTATGTTGTATGGTCTCCAGCATTGTCTGGGCTGACGCTCCTTGCGGTGACCAGATGGGCGATCAGTACTCTAGTATTCGCAGGGCGAGAGCAGCGTAGAGCTGCGCAGGCACCGTGGGCCCCGTCCTCTGCTGGTCGTTTGCACGGAACCCAACATTCGCTTCGCTGTGCGCGTGAGGCGATGGATTGGATCTGTGGAGTGTAGCTCACTGTCCATGGTAAATCACAGCAGAGTTATTCTCGCGTTTCGGCGTAAGGTGGATTCATTGATTGCTAAGGTTTGAGGTGCGTTCTGCGCTTTTTTTTTTTTATGAGGGGGTGAATAAAATGAATTGTTGCCAATTTTGATGCACTTAGAGGCAACTTATTTGTAATAGTCCAGTTATGGATCTGGTTGAGGTCTCGTTGCAGTTGGTTATAGTCTTCTGGTTATCTATTCCGTTGAAGGAGAGTGAGGTCATCAGCGTGCATGGTGGCGGTGGAGTTAATGACCTAGACAATATCGCTGATGAAATTTGAGAAGAAGGTCGGGCCAAGTACGGTGCCTTGGGGGATTCCACATTTGACAGTTTGAGACTGGGACTTTGATCCATAGTAGGAAACCTTTCGTTGCCTTTCCGGATGAACTTGAACAGCCAACAGAGGAGAAGGCCCTTTATACTCGTGCTCTTCAGTTTAACTAACAGGAGTTGCTGATCTACTTTAGCGAAGGCTTTGGTGAAGTCCAGCGGCACCAGTTCACATGGTGTAGAATTGTCTAGTTTTTCACTGATTTGGTGGACAATGGTGAGCAGGGCCGTCTCACAGCTCCGTCCGGGCCGGAATCCGTTTTGCGGTGGAGATAGAAGGGCGTGGGCGTTTAGGTGTGTAGCGCAGAGTTCAGCGCTCGTTCTATAGTATGGCAGACGTCTGATGTTTTGGAGATCGGCCTGTAGGAGTCTGGTTTGTCTGAGGGGGTTCATTTTTCTTTGTAGATTGGGGTGGCATGAGCCTGCTTTCAAAGTGAATAATAATAATAATAATAATAATAATAATAATTTTATTGGCGATGGGGAGAAGATTAAAGAAGTTCAATTAGCGGGACTGGACAAAGCCTGCATTGGCTTATGGGCCCAGACCCAGTATGCTAAGTTGTCTGTTAAAATGTTTAGATTATCACTTGCTTGCAACACATTATTGCTTCCACATACGTATCTACACACACATATACACGCACAAATGTCATTCTTGTTGCACCGTTAAACCACAGTGAAGCAGTGCCAGGTCGTTGCCTCGGGAGTGATTGCAGTTTGAAGACAACCGGGAGACGCCCACACAGACACACACACACACGCGCGCGCAGGCACAAATGGGCTGAAGTAGACCGGAAGAAATGCCGTAGAGTATATAACTCTTCTTGAGCAGGAGCAATCACATTTCCGTAAAATGATATGTAAAAAAAAATTATTGGTTACAATGAGAAGTATACTAAATTATGCAATATTGAAATTAGTTAACATTTTCTTTAAATTTTTTCTCGTCTTAGCCTTCAGAATACGCTCTGGGAGCTTATTGAAAATGAGAGGAACGTAATATGAGCGAACTCTCTTACCGTAACGCGTGAAGCATCGCGGGGTTTCAAAGCGAGTTACGTGGCGAAAATTCCTTTGAGAGATGAAGGGACGCTTAAAGTCATTGCTCCAAAAGTGGCGAAGCACGACGCTTTGTAGAAATAGAGAATAAAAAGTTAATAATTGCAGAGTTTCAAAGAGTTCTATGTCGGATGCGAAATTCATTTGGTATCCAACGCTTTTCAATAAGCCTATTAGAATACGATTGATCTTGTCATGCCATAGTTCTGAGCAATTAGCGAACAGAGTGATGCCGTACCTGAGTATACTGTAGCCTATGCGCGATTGACTTTCTAATAGTAAATGGCATAAACACTTTTTGATTAAAGAGTAAACAACTAACACTCCGAAGTTTGTTACATAGTTGTGAGAGATGCGTGATCCAGGACATATCTTTTCTTTCCCCTTTCCACGGCTTTTTTTCTTGCAATCCCCCCTCTCCCCCTCATCTCTCAGTCGTTACCGACGTCTCTGTACATAACGCCTGTGGGTGACCCCGGTGGCGTTGTTGACAGTGACGGAAAATGAGCTCTAAAACCGCGTACACCGCGCACGGCTCCACAATGTCACGAAGTTTAATCTTCGCCTCGATTCCGAAGTGAAGATTTTGGCCTCAAATCACTCCTTCACAAAGTTGTGAAACGTCACTTTGTCGTCAGCAGTAACTTCCACAAACGACGATCTTGCGACGAGAAAGTTGAGAGCATTTACAGCCCGCCCAGGTACAATCTACGCATCATTGACTCTATAGCGGCGTAGGGATGTAGGGACACGCAGGGGCGACGTCATCAGTGCAGCCGGTCAATCGGCTGGCCCCACGGTGTTGCTCGAGCGCGCTCCGATGAAGCTCGCTACAACTTTGTGCCTAACATTTTCGCTGGAATTGGAGCACCGAGAAAGCTCGGATGATTGACATCTCGTCCCGCGTGACGCCAACGTCGCGAGAGTCCAATCAGCACGCTCCGCGAACTTCGTGCCCAACTTTGTGTTTGACGAGTTTAGCAACCCAGGTAACCAGGTGGAGGTTGTTTTTCGTTTTATCATACTGGAGGGTGTCTTTGGTCTATCCCCGGCGGTGATAGGTGGTGCAGTTGACGCTGGCGTAGGCTTATCCGGAGCGTCGAACAGGCTGTCGTTGAACGAAGTCAGCTGGCATACGCCGCAGTACCTTGGCTCCGAGCTGTTCGACAAGCGCAGAGAGGCCGGCAGTGAGAGTTGCTCACATTTCCTGTGGAGCCAGATGTTACATCTGTCCCAATGTAGAGCCGCTACGTCATCGTAAACCGGTCTACAGCAGGAAGGAAAGGTATGACGAGCTCACGGGTTGAGTTTACGTCGCCGGCACATAACAGGATGACATGATGTTGAAGAACGCAACGGCGGACAGATGTTTGAGACCTGGTTGACGACCGACCGGATCAGGTAGGCTTTGTAGGACTAGCATATCCACGTCCGCGTGTGAGCGCCGTACTCCATTTGGGACAATTGAAATTCACCTGAAGATGGGCGTGCTGTGTCGTCGGATGGTTGCGTGGGAAGAGCGCTGCGGGGGAAGAGTACTGAAGCGTGGAAACGGCGAAGAAAAAGCATTAACAAGCGCACCCACTGAAAAATGTGTCCTTTCGCCATCGCCATCCTGATGGTCACACTGCTTGAACATCATACAAAAGACAGTCAGCATAAAGATTCGAATGCGAGCGAACGCGAAATCCGTGTTTCGGACGCCGTAGGACAGCGAGTTTAGGGAGAAGCTTGGCAGGCTGTATTCGAACCACGGATATCGCGGTGACTGATGGCTGGCAGACTGTCTTCTGCATGTCGAGATAAGTACTGTGACTCCGCTAAAAGAAAGACAAGCTCATGCACAAAAACTAAGAGTAAAGTTACGGCGCACTTGCTCCGCATAATCGGAGGAACCGGCGGATGGGCACGCATTGAAAGAAGCTGAACGTCAGGACGTTGCGCTTACGGCGCTACCTGAGTGGCTCGTTGGTTCCTACCGCTGGCTAGCAGAATATAGCTAAATATAAATTAAAAAATGGCGTCCATTTGTGGCCGTCATTTTTCTTACCAGGCAGGGACTTGGCAACGTCCTCAACTCTGTCCAAGTTCCTTCCAGCCACAATGACTCGGCAGCCTTTCTTGGCGAAAGCGAGACACACACATTTGCCGATTCCCCCGCTGCCTCCGACCACGAGAGCGAGTCGTTCCTCGAAGAAGCTCGAAGCGCTGGACATGGCTTCCAGGACAATTTTAGAAACAGATGCTGCAGCAACGGTGTACCTTCGGGAGAATGTCACATGTGTGCGAATCATACCTGTATAAGTATAACTAGGTCATGTGATTTTACGCGATCACTTATATCACAGGTGCGCGCGAGATGTACGTGCACGACGGTAAGAAATTCAGACAAAAACGAAAAAAGACTCAAAGTTCTATGTAATGCGAGCAAGTTTTCCTGCCAATTTCGTTCATATCTCAGTCATTTCCGCTTTTTAGGGCTCTAGATTAGCACAAAAGACTTATTTTGGTCCGAGGAACTGTGCTACCTCGGTATTTATATATAATATGAATATTGAAGTTTATAAATATAATAAAGTGTTTATGAAATGCTAATATTAAACAGCCTCTAAATAATATTTGGGTACGGCTGGAGTAAAGACAGATGCAGTGACGACCAGTTGAATAATATCATTTTAAGGCTGCGGTCCCAAGGCAGCCATCTTGAACAAGGCGTTAGTTCAACCAATAGATGGCGACACGCACCCGTGGGGTGTAAAGCCCCTCGATATGTTTGCGTTTGTCGTGCAAGTAGCGCCAAATGCGCGAGTGCACGAGATCCTCATCTCGAGCGGCCCTTGGAAGCGAATGGCGGCGCAGCACTGAAATGAGCGGTCCTAGGAAGCGAATGGCGGCGGAGCACCCGCTCGTGGCACGTGTCTCGCGCGGTTTCACAACAATGGTTGGAGGTACCTGTAAAAACGCCTTTATCAAGGGGCTTTAGTGGGGTAGCCGAAACATTGGTTCACAGTGGGATGGCTCGAGCACCATCACGTTCCCCTCGTGGCCTTGCTCGCGCCGCTGGCAGCCATGCGCAGCTGGCTCAAGTAGCGTGGCCCAGCAAACTCATGTATGCGAGAATGTCAGGCTGGGTATAAATTGTTTTCTGATAGAGGGAGACGCGGTTGGGCGGTTATAACGGGCTTTCGCAATAAATCTTACCAAGAAGGAATCAAATCTTGATTGACGTGTTAATATTCTATAAATGAAAATTTCTTCTGCAGAAATGCACGCTCAGTAGACTCAATCTTCCAAGACACCAGTGCAAGCGGACGTCAAGTAAACTGCTTCGCGATTTACGGTACTTACCTCACCATTTTAATGACGACTAAAATAACGTCACGAAATATTGTGTTTCACGGGGTCCGGAAGATGTTGGAAAGGTTTTTACATTATAGTTACCAGAAAACAAACGCCGTTGCAATATATTCGGAAGTACCGACACACACAACGTTGTAAGTAGAGCTTAGGAGGAATATGATAAAAACCATCAGAAGAAATAGGGAGACGTTTATTTGCAATGAGGACGCTATGAATGGACGGCGTTTAGCGACGGCAAGTTACGAGCGTTCGGGAATTTATAAGTTCACGTGATTGCTAACTATGGACATGCGTTTTTGTCGGGAGGTGGTGTTGCGGTGATGACCTGATATCGGACGACTCGTGGCAGACGAACAAGCAAGTTTCTTCTCAGCGAATAGTAAGTGCCCAGTGTCAAGCACAACACGTGGCTACCGACGTTGTCGACGTTTCGAACGCTTGCCGCTTTCGACAAAAGTCCTTGCACATGGGCTAACTTTCTGGAAAGACTCGAAGTCTCCCTCAAGCCCAACGCCATCATGAACAGTAACTGAAAACGATCCACTATTCAATCGATGGGTGGCGAAACGTATCCGCATCTGCGGAGTCAAGGACAATGTGTACTCTAAGTGACTGGAAGCTTACACGATGCCTGCCACGACGCCTAAACACGTCATTGACGTTCTACGGTCTCTTTTACCTACTTTTGCCCTACCGAAAATACTTTTCTCTGATAACGCGCCAAATCATTCTTCAAACAAAATAAACAAGTTTTTGAAGAAAAAAAACCGGCATCAGGCATCACATTAGTGCACCATACCATCCTACAACTAACGGGTATGCAGAACAGATGGTGTGCGAAACAAAAAGAAGAAAAAAAGTCCTTTTGAAGCTTACGGAAGAAGCAGTTCAGTGAAGAATCGCGAGGTTGTTGTTCCAGCAGCACGCGACGGTCTCATCTTACACGGTAAAAACACCCGCCGAAGAAATATTCGGCGGACGAAGAGCCACACCCCTCGATTTTATGATACTATGGCTTACGAACGAAGATCGGGAAATTCCCAGATCGGGTGTAATTGCAGTTTATTCAGTCGGACAACTCGTCTACGTAAGGAATTTCAGCGGAAGTCGGGCCTTCCATGTAAAACTTGAGTAGAAAATGTTCTATGTTGGTTGATCAGAAGGTGTCATATCTCTCTGAATACGTTGGATATCAATGCCCTTGAGTGTAAATATAACTAAATCACAAATATCTCTTTGTGCATTGTGTAACTGCCCCTGTATTTGATTGTAGAAGCTATTGTGGTGATTTGGACATGTCACACTAGGCTCCTTTTTCTTATTTTTCGCCTCATACTCCTTTGCGGTTTAAGTATGCTTCGAAATCTTTTGGAACGGGGACACTTCACGTTAACGAGGCCATTTGTTCCAAGTAGTCAATCAGGGAATGCTGCTAGAAATCCGTCCCTCATATTAACGAATAAGCCGCACTTCTGCACAGTGCAGTTTTTCTGTTCCAGGAACAGTTGTAAAGCAGCATCCGCATTGATTCTACCATATACTGCTGCAGGTGAAAAAAGTCTTTGGGTACACGATACTTGAAACAAGTCTGGCACTGTAGGTTGTGGTTCGACACCCACTAATGTCGTCGTCCTTATAGAGCCTCATTGTTTAGTCATTACCTCGTCACCTCATATTGCTCTTCATCAACAGTAAGTACAATAGGCTACCGCCATATTACAATCCAAGAATTGAAAAATTTAGTCGTTCAGTCCTTCAATAAGTTTACTATTTATATAATGTTATTACGTTACATTACCCCGAGACGATCGACGTCCATCGTCGATCTTCAAATACTTATACCTGTATATAAATTAGACGCACAGGGGGAGGGGGGGGGGGGGGGGGGGTCGGTGGCCGAGTGCTTGGTCTAGCGCACACCAGCTCGGAGCACTTGGAGCGAAAGCTCCCGCTGCAGAAGCCACCCCGCCCCTGCCCGTTTCGATCTAGAAGAGCATCGTACCGGCGTGCGGTCGTGTATCACTACTGCGTGGTGCACGTTAAAGACCCCAGGTTTGCGGTTGTACCGCACTGGCTAAATTGCTCATCTACACGCAGCTGAAAGTCAGACGCCCACTAAGGCTGACTAACTCCCGGCTGTATAAACATACACACAACAATTTGCAATTAGACGCATAATAACAAAGGCGGCCCCTATGTGGAAGCAACGTGGCCCCTTCAAGCCTGACATTCCTGCGGAAGACAGGAGGGCGGCTAAGCCGCCCCCGTGAGTGCCCGCGCCGGAGTTAGCCTAGGGCCTCGGAATCGGAGCCTTTAGAGGACAGACTCCAGCCTGCGTCAAGACGGGACGTCGCGCATGTCCGTTCCGAGGTAAGCGCCATACGGTCTGTCTCCCATCCTGAATGGCGGTGATGTTAGAAGCGCCATTGCGTGTTGCGACGCTTAATGTCCGCGGGCTTGCAGCGAGGCGTCGGCAGTACCAACTAAGTCGACTGTTCGCCAAGAACGAGCTAGACATCATCGCCATTCAGGAAACAAAAGTCGAGAGTCTAGAACAGACAGATCGTATGGTGCAACCTTTCCGAACTCTTCTTAATGTGTGTGTTTCGCACGCTGGTGGGAACATCGGGGGTATGAATTGTTTGTTTATTCGTCGGTCTCTGGATGTTGTCGAGACTGCTATGCTTTCTTGTGCGTATGGCCGTTTTGTTTTATGCGATTTTTTGTTTTTGAATATTGAGTGAGTGGCGCGTCATTTGTGTCTATGCACCAACCAGCGAGCGCGAGCGCAAGTTCTTTTTTTTTTTTTTTTTTTTTTTTTGAAGGAGTAAGTGAGTATGACGAAAGTAATCCCTGGAGAGGGGGAACAAGAGGGACATTCTTGTCCAGCTCGCTTGCACCTTTGCATTTAATTGCATTATACTAATAAGTGAGTATCTTAACTGCGATAAGGTTTTTATTTTCCTTGGGGACTTTAATTGCGTCTGCGCGCCTGAGGATCGTGCGAATATGACCCGAGTTCGCGACTAAAGTGCATTTTATTTAAATCATGCTGTCGCGGATAATTCATTGGAGGACATTGCACACTTATCCTCAAAAAACAGCGTCTATTTTACACATTTTCAAGGCTCCAGTCATGCTCGACTCGACAACGCCTATGTCTCGCTCGATCTTGTCCCGTTATGCGATCATTATTCCGTATTGCCTGTTTCTTTCAGTGACCACGCTTTAGTCATGTTCACCCTTGGCAACAAAGTTAGGAAGCCAAGGTGGAATTGTTCGTTCTGGAAGATGAACAGTGGTCTTGTGAACGATGAAGTATTCAGAGAAAAAGTTGATGGCTTGTTCAGAAAGTTCCGCGAGGATGAGCCGACAATGTGGGGGGTGTGCGCTGGGAGCTTTTTAAAGAAGACGTAAAGCTCACTGGCCATTGAAAGCAGCAGTATTATTAATTATCAAAAGCGGCAAAAAGAGGAAGAGCTACAGAGCCAGTTAAATTTTCTTTTAAAGGAAGACGGCGCGAAGCCGGGCGAGTTTGAAAAAGAAATCAGAGATCAGCTCAAAATACTCGATTGTGAAAGATACCGAGGGGCTATCGTGCGATCGCGATCAGAAAAGCTGTGGCTGGGCGAAAGGCCAACGAAGCGTGCGCTGAGCGATGAGAAAAGTCATGCTTACTGAAATGAGATAAAAAAAATTCGTTACGGCAATATGATAACGCGCGATCAGAAGACAATCGAGCGAGCTTTTGTTGAACATTACCGCGAGTTGCTTGGTCACTGCGTTCAGAAAGGTACTGGGCTTGAAAGTGAATTTTTGACACTCATGCCCAGGCTTGAAGGGCATGTACAAGAAG